GTTGCTGTCATGTCTCCTCAGCATTGTTCAGATGTCATGTTTTGTTTCAGCGTTTTGCGGCGGTCATCATGAGGATCAGAGAGCCTCGAACCACCGCTCTGATCTTCAGCTCCGGGAAGATGGTCTGTACAGGAGCCAAGAGGTCTGTCTGGTTTTTAACTTTGATTTATTCTACTATTTCAACAATTACACAGTTTATACGTCCGTTTATACAAAATGAGTAGAAGGAGGGCAGAGAGTATAGTTTATACAGAGCCCATCCTGTTGGGAAGAAGAAGAGAATTAAACACTCACACAGATAAACACAATTCTATATGTACATATGTACACACATACATATGTACACACATACATGCACCCATTGCCAGGGTTAAAATAATAAAGTAAAACAAACAAATATTCCTACATGTTCAGATAACCAGTTTCATTTATCTTCCTGTGTGTCTGTTTACCTGTGTGTCTGTTTACCCGTGTGTCTGTTTACCCGTCTGTCTGTTTACCCGTGTGTCTGTTTACCCGTGTGTCTGTTTACCCGTGTGTCTGTTTACCCGTGTGTCTGTTTACCCGTGTGTCTGTTTACCCGTGTGTCTGTTTACCCGTGTGTCTGTTTACCCGTGTGTCTGTTTACCCGTGTGTCTGTTTACCCGTGTGTCTGTTTACCCGTGTGTCTGTTTACCTGTGTGTCTGTTTACCCGTGTGTCTGTTTACCCGTGTGTCTGTTTACCCGTGTGTCTGTTTACCCGTGTGTCTGTTTACCCGTGTGTCTGTTTACCCGTGTGTCTGTTTACCCGTGTGTCTGTTTACCCGTGTGTCTGTTTACCCGTGTGTCTGTTTACCCGTGTGTCTGTTTACCCGTGTGTCTCCAGGTAAAGGTGAGACCGTTTCTTTTTTTTAATGCCTCACCCTTGTGTTTGTGCAGTGAGGAGCACTCTCGTCTGGCAGCCAGGAAGTACGCCCGCGTGGTTCAGAAACTGGGTTTTCCCGCCCGCTTCACGGACTTTAAGATCCAGAACATGGTGGCCAGCTGTGACGTCTGTTTCCCCATCAGACTGGAGGGCCTGGTGCTGACTCACCAGCAGTTCAGCAGGTAGAGACACAGGTTAGCCTAGCTTAGCATACTCCCCACGCCCCTCTGAGAGACATCTGGTTACAAAGAACTCAATGGTGCTCTAGGAGGAGATTCAGGTGATAAGGTGGGGGGGGGGTTTCAGAATCCCTTTATACAGAGGGGACACATGTTGATGAAGAAGAGACATGAAGAAGAGGGGACACATGTTGATGAAGAGGAGACATGAAGAAGAGGGGACACATGTTGATGAAGAGGAGACATGAAGAAGAGGGGACACATGTTGATGAAGAGGAGACATGAAGAAGAGGGGACACGTGTTGATGAAGAAGAGACATGAAGAAGAGGGGACACGTGTTGATGTAGAAGAGACATGAAGAAGAGACATGAAGAAGAGGGGACACGTGTTGATGAAGAAGAGACATGAAGAAGAGGGGACACGTGTTGATGAAGAAGAGACATGAAGAAGAGGGGACACGTGTTGATGAAGAAGAGACATGAAGAAGAGGGGACACGTGTTGATGTAGAAGAGACATGAAGAAGAGGGGACACGTGTTGATGAAGAAGAGACATGAAGAAGAGGGGACACGTGTTGATGAAGAAGAGACATGAAGAAGAGGGGACACGTGTTGATGAAGAAGAGACATGAAGAAGAGGGGACACGTGTTGATGAAGAAGAGACATGAAGAAGAGGGGACACGTGTTGATGTAGAAGAGACATGAAGAAGAGGGGACACGTGTTGATGAAGAAGAGACATGAAGAAGAGGGGACACGTGTTGATGAAGAAGAGACATGAAGAAGAGGGGACACGTGTTGATGAAGAAGAGACATGAAGAAGAGGGGACACGTGTTGATGAAGAAGAGACATGAAGAAGAGGGGACACGTGTTGATGTAGAAGAGACATGAAGAAGAGGGGACACGTGTTGATGTAGAAGAGACATGAAGAAGAGGGGACACGTGTTGATGTAGAAGAGACATGAAGAAGAGGGGACACGTGTTGATGTAGAAGAGACATGAAGAAGAGGGGACACGTGTTGATGTAGAAGAGACATGAAGAAGAGGGGACACATGGTGATGAAGAAGAGACATGAAGAAGAGGGGACACATGGTGAACATCATGTGTGTAACTCGTGGCTCAATTCAAACGGGATCGAGCCCCGAGGAAGTGGTGTTGAAGCAGATTGTCATAGTGGCCAAATGGTGTTACTACAACTTATTAGATTGACGCAGGTATTTTCATATTCAAGAGGCAAGCTATTACCACAAGCCACTGAGATGTTTCACGCTTCCCCCTCAGAGAAGAGAAGAAGTTCTTTATTGATCCCAATTTGGGAAATGTTTGTGTTGCAGCAGAATACAAAGACGTGGGATTGTACAATAGTTTGGCTAGTAAGGTTTTGGCATTGGTTTTACCGCCTATCATCTGAAGGCAGCTTTAGCAAATAGTTAGCTTCTAGTTCCTGTTAGCAAGATTAGGGTTTACAGAAACTGGAAAACCTTTTTAATGAATTGTGAAATAGATTTTGAGGAAGGTTATTCTGATTATTAACATTATTTATAAAGCTTTATATCAAATGTTTCTGTCTCCACAGTTATGAACCAGAGCTGTTTCCAGGCCTCATCTACCGCATGGTGAAGCCTCGCATCGTGCTGCTCATATTCGTGTCCGGGAAAGTTGTTCTGACCGGTAACGAAACTCAAAACGTTTTATTATAGACAGAAGTTAAAGCAGAGGATCCAGTTCATTTCAAACAGTCATTTCATCCATTGCATACACTAACATACAAGTGGAGGTTTAAACATTACTTTTGACCAACTGTTTTATAATTACAAGGTTTTTGTGGTTTTAAGTGTTAGTAAAGAAGCAGTTTTTGCTAAATGCTAATTGCTCTCTTCAACTAAAATGTATTTCACATGCACTCAGTACTTGTTATAACCCAAATCTCTAAAAACGGGGGAACAACGGAGCTGATCCAGATTAGCGTCCGATATGACGTAATATCTGAAATGTGGACCCACGGCCCTATCAGAAACGTTGCTATCAGAAACAATGCCCGACTGTTTTGGACGTAATATGGTCGGTGTTTACATTAGCATGGCTAACACTCAGAGCTAACCTGTACTGGAGAGCATGTGTGTGAAGAAGCAGGAAATCAAAAGGAACTCACCTTGTGGTATAACCGGCAAGAGAGAAAGCCTTTGAGCTCCATACTGTTTCAGAGACAATCCTTGATCATCCATGATATGGAGTTTCATCACGGCAGCATTTAGTTTAGACAGTAGCTGCCGGGTCCCGCATGAGCTCAGACCCCTCCTCTTTAAAGCTTTATATCCCAAATCAGCACTTTAGAAACAGGAAGTGAAATAGAGGGATATGAGGCATGGCTAGAATGATCTGTTTGGTGTTTGGAGCAAAACACTTCATAGACATGTTTCTTATATATTTGTATATATCTAAAAATTGCATGATAGGTGACCTTTAATGATTGTACACAAATCTCATTATAGGAATCTTTTTCTTCACGATTTAGAGTTGCACGCTTGTAAAATAAAATCTAATTTTGTAATGTGATTTTTCTTTTTACTTAATGCAGATAATAATTAGGAGATTATTTCTTGTAATTAAATTCTTGATCATGACGGAATAGATATAAGTCTTTGGTAAATGCAGACAATTTGCACATACTGTTTTATAAAGAAAGTTATAATAATTGTTCATTATTAATTATTTACTTGTGATCATTTGCAGGAGCTAAACAACGAGAAGAGATCTACGATGCGTTTGAGAACATTTATCCGATCCTAAAAGGCTTCAGGAAACAGTGAGGCCAACCTCTGACGTCACTTCCAGTTTATTTATAAATAGATAATATATCATTATTGTATGTTTTTATTTTGCGGATGGTAAATGACTCGTGTTTTTTTTTGAGTCTCTGTTGAATCACCATCCTAAAAGAACGGAAATTACTTATAAAATGCTTTGTTATCTTTGCTCTGAATCAGACTCTCCTTATTGTACTGTTTTCATCCTTTATACTTTTTACTGGCCTGCATTTATTTAACATATTCAGATAATAATACATATTCAATTATGTATTTTTGATTTAAAATCCCAGCTATATGTACAGTACCTCATGGACGCGGGAAGGGGGGGTGCTGAGGGGGCTGCAGCACCCCCATCTGCGAGGCTCCACTAGCTACTAGTAGCATCTCTTTTATGAGCTGCGACATTGAAGGATCAAAACATTAATGCAGCAATAATTATATTACGATAGCATAACGCATGGTATTCAGAAATAAGCTGCTTAATGTATACTTATTTACTTTGGTTAAGTTATTTGTACTTAAGTAATTTATTTACAAACCTATTTATTTTAGGACTGGCAATACTTTATCGTGAACTTTTCTTAAAGCTTTGGTCTATGTGAAAATGTTATGAAAATAACCATTAAGTTAAGTCTTTATTGCAAGACTTTGACTTGGATCTGAGCCTTTTACAATGTGGTTTAACAACTATTTCTTGTATACTGTATACTGTATAATAATAATACGCTTTATTGGTGTAAGATGTGCAGCCCGAAGTGCTTCACATTGAAGAATTGACATCTTATAGTCACAAATAGACACAGAATACAGTTACCAGTAAAGGTAAATCTTAAGAGCTTATGTAAATATCCTTTTGATTCTTTTTATTTTAAACTTGCGCTTTTATATATTACATTTAAAGCAGTAGTTTCAGGTGACTCCGCCCACTCCTTCGTCACTTCATAAACGAACGTGTGAGCGTGTTATCTTTTTAAATTATTAGTTCTTTATTCGTTTTTAAAACAAAATATAATGAACGCAGCAGGTTTCCCGTGACTCCGCCCACTAATGTTACGTCACTTCGTAAACAAACCCGTCACGTGTTTAGAAGAAACCGGAAGTGGAGGTCTCATCGTTCTCTAATCAAAACAAAAACATCTCTGTGTCAGCTTATTTTTCAGCTCCTCTAAAGGTTTTATAAATATGACAGCGATACCACGGACAATATAACAGTCACACGTTATCAACATGGAGGGGTTGAAAAACGCTAAGTCACGCTGACTAGTTTTAAATCGAGCTTTTAATAGGTTAGTGTTAGCTTAGCATTAGCTTAGCAGTTAGCTCCTCTCCATGGCGTCCTCCTCTTCCTCCGCGGGGCTCCCTCCTCTCGGACCCGACCGATCTGCCTCCTCCTCCGGCTCTCACTCCGCTGGCAGGCCGCCTCTCCGTCCCCACCATCACCCCCTACACCCGGCCCACTCCTCCCCGGGATGTGTGCTCATGGTGGAGTCAGTGGACGATGCGGAGGGTCTGTATGTTGCCGTGGAGCGATGCCCGCTCTGCAGCACCTCGCGCCGCAGGCTGACCTGCGCGCGCTGCGTCCAGGCCGGAGACTTCGTGTACTTCGATGCGAGGAACACTGAGAGGTAAACAAAGAGGTTCTGATCAGTGGGGTAAAGTGAGATTGGGGCAGTAAACTAAACATTCAGAGTGATAGGGGAACACCAGAGGAATGTCAGCAGTAGAACATGAAGTACTCAAGTGTCGAAAATAGGTAACAGAGAGATGTTGAGGAATCATTTTAATACAGGAGCTCACTTTAAAGAGGGTACTGAGTGAGGGAGCACAGCTTAGGGCCCTGTTATATTTCCTAAGGGGTACTGGGGTTTTTCATAGGATTTGAGGTGCTTTTTGTTTTCATTTCATTTCATTGTGAAGGGATTTATAATGTAAACAATATGATGCAAGGAACACTGAGAGGTAAAGAAAGAGGTTCTGATCAGTGGTGTGAAGTGAGATTGGGGTCAGTGTGCACTAAAGTAAACATTAAGATTGGCAGGGAAGCGCCAGAGGAATGTCAGCAGTAGAACATGTAGTACTGACATGCGAGGAACACTGAGAGGTAAAGAAACAGGCTTATGATCAGTGTGCTCAGTGTGTTCATTTGAAGGAGTTGGGATTACAGGAGCTCACTTTAAAGAGGGTACTGAGGGAGGGTACTGAGTGTATTTCCTGAGGGGTACTGGGGTCTATCATAGGATTTGAGGTGCTATTGGTTGTTGTTTTTTTCCCATGTAATGTTATTGTGAAGGGATGATGCAATAACACTGAGAGGTAAAGAGAGAGGCACTGAAGTACTCCAGATTAAAGCCTTCAATATGTGGTAGAACTTTTAATTCCCTTAAGAGAAACAAATACGTCATTCATGTTAATAATTTGACCCGTTCCCAACAGTTTTTATGTCGAGATAAAGGTTTATTTTATGTTGGTGACAGAAAAATGACAAACCATCTGTGGTCTTCTGCGGTAAATGTTCTCCTTTTCTAACTCTGAGATGATGTCTATTGACAACACATTTGAAAAAGAAGAGTACACCTTGTGGTATGAAGTATGAATACAGTTGCCTTGAAAGGTGTAGCACAGATTTGGGTGATTATTTAATACCATATGCTTTATAACAAGTCAAACCGGGAGGACAAAAGTTGATAGGAAGACAACACGAGGGTTAATGAAGAAAGTCAAAATACATTTGAAATGGATCTCAAACTGTAACAGAGCAACTTCATCACCAGAGGATGAAGAGTCCCAGAAAGAAAGCAGCCGACGAACGCTTCCCATCAATTCTCAAACTGTCTAAACATTCCCACCATTACACCATCAAACCCTCCACTCTTTACTCTTTACACGCCCACACGCCCACTCGCACTCTCAGGTCAGCTGATCAGTTGCTCCTGAGGGTGCCAAAAACCAAGGTTGCAGTCGAATAGTCCCTTTAGCTCAGGAACCTTCCTCACGGAGTGAAATGACCCGGAGGTCCCTCAGTGGCAGCCATGATAAGAGCTGGTTCTCTAGATGAAAGGAAAGGAGGTTTCAAACTTCCTTTATAACCTCCTTTAGCTTAGGAACCACTGGACCTCCCTAACCGAAAGGAGAGGAGAAAATGCTGCCCCACAATGCCTTGCGGCCGCGGCATTTGCCGTCACACAACAGTCGGCCGTTCACGGAAACAACCGATTATGAACGAGAAATGATATCATGAAAGTTACGGTGCTTATTAAGCATTTTAAAAACGTATGTGGTAAGTTGCCAAAGTGCTTTGTTTTGAACGTTCATCAGTATTATAATCAAAAAGAGAAATATGAACGTTAGTTTTTACTGAAATGATCAAATAAAGTCAACATTTCACAGTCTTTACTGAGCTGTGTGGGGTTTGTTCAACTTTGAAAAGATGTTTGAATGGTGATATACACAGTGATAGATGTTAAGGACTAACGTTTATAATAAATACATTTGTATTGATTTGAAGATCTTTTCATACAATCATACGTATTGGGATCATTTGTATTAATGTGGACCGGAGGGAGAGGGTGATGAGCATAAGTTTCAAGCTGTTTCTTCCTAAATGGGACCTCTGTCCATTTATAGAAACCTTGATCTCATCAAATCTTAAATGAATGTTCATTGTTTTTCACATCGCTCTGAATCGAGTCACTGCAGTGCTTTTGGTGGAAGATAGAAGAGGGTGTAGGAGTCATTTAAGAATTGATTTAGTTAAAATAACAGCTTAAATATGTCATAAATACACGCTGAATTTAAAAAAGGATTATAAAATGAAAATGGCATTTTGACAATTTCAGCTTAAAGTTGATTATCCTGTCGGTTAATTCATTATCATCGTTTGGGATAGTTAGCATTAGCAGCTAACACTCTACTGTGGCTGTTTGAGGTCCTTTGTGATGTTTCTGTGCTGCTGGTTTCACGGTTGAGTCTATCCCTGTTGTCTCTCCATGGCTGCATCAGTCTGTGTGTGAGCTGCATCAGTCTGTGTGTGAGCTGCATCAGTCTGTGTGTGAGCTGCATCAGTCTGTGTGTGAGCTGCATCAGTCTGTGTGTGAGCTGCATCAGTCTGTGAGCTGCATCAGTCTGTGTGTGAGCTGCATCAGTCTGTGTGAGCTGCATCAGTCTGTGTGAGCTGCATCAGTCTGTGTGTGAGCTGCATCAGTCTGTGTGTGAGCTGCATCAGTCTGTGTGTGAGCTGCATCAGTCTGTGTGTGAGCTGCATCAGTCTGTGAGCTGCATCAGTCTGTGTGTGAGCTGCATCAGTCTGTGTGTGAGCTGCACCAGTCTGTGTGAGCTGCATCAGTCTGTGTGTGAGCTGCATCAGTCTGTGTGAGCTGCACCAGTCTGTGTGTGAGCTGCATCAGTCTGTGTGAGCTGCATCAGTCTGTGTGTGAGCTGCATCAGTCTGTGTGAGCTGCACCAGTCTGTGTGTGAGCTGCATCAGTCTGTGTGTGAGCTGCACCAGTCTGTGTGTGAGCTGCACCAGTCTGTGTGTGAGCTGCACCAGTCTGTGTGTGAGCTGCTGGTATTCTAGTGAAGCTGCTGTAGTTACTCAACCTGCAAACACCCCAAATAACCGTGTCCTCATAGGCTCCATGTCACAGATCAGCTTCCTGTGCATTGGGGACCACCAGGGGTCTCTGCAGTGCTTCCAGGGGTCTCTGCGGTGCTTCCAGGGGTCTCTGCGGTGCTTCCAGGGGTCTCTGCGGTGCTTCAGGGGTCTCTGAGGTGCTTCAGGGGTCTCTGCGGTGCTTCAGGGGTCTCTGCGGTGCTTCCAGGGGTCTCTGTGGTGCTTTCAGGGGTCTCTGTGGTGCTTCCAGGGGTCTCTGCGGTGCTTCAGGGGTCTCTGCGGTGCTTCAGGGGTCTCTGCGGTGCTTCCAGGGGTCTTTGTGGTGCTTCCAGGGGTCTCTGTGGTGCTTCCAGGGGTCTCTGGGTGCTTCCAGGGGTCTCTGGGTGCTTCCAGGGGTCTCTGTGGTGCTTCCAGGGGTCTCTGTGGTGCTTCCAGGGGTCTCTGGGTGCTTCCAGGGGTCTCTGTGGTGCTTCCAGGGGTCTCTGTGGTGCTTCCAGGGGTCAGGGGTCTCTGAGGTGCTTCCAGGGGTCAGGGGTCTCTGTGGTGCTTCCAGGGGTCTCTGTGGTCTCTGTGGTGCTTCAGGGGTCTCTGTGGTGCTTCAGGGGTCTCTGCGGTGCTTCAGGGGTCTCTGAGGTGCTTCCAGGGGTCCCTGTGGTGCTTCCAGGGGTCTCTGTGGTGCTTCCAGGGGTCAGGGGTCTCTGTGGTGCTTCCAGGGGTCAGGGGTCTCTGAGGTGCTTCCAGGGGTCTCTGTGGTGCTTCCAGGGGTCTCTGTGGTCTCTGTGGTGCTTCAGGGGTCTCTGTGGTGCTTCAGGGGTCTCTGTGGTGCTTCCAGGGGTCAGGGGTCTCTGTGGTGCTTCCAGGGGTCAGGGGTCTCTGAGGTGCTTCCAGGGGTCAGGGGTCTCTGTGGTGCTTCAGGGGTCTCTGTGGTGCTTCAGGGGTCTCTAATGATCATCTCACTGTTTGTTTGCAGATACATTGAGAAGTTGGAGCGACTGAAGAAGCTGAAGGAGGAAAAGCAGCAGCTTCAACAGAGGTAAACATGGCAACAAGAATAAGAGTGGACCAAATGAGGGTCTCAGTCAGTAGGGGCTTGGACTGGGAGCTGTAGGGTCCCCGGTTCAAGTCCCCGACCAGACCTAAAATATGGAGTGTGGACTTGGAGAGGTCCCAGTTCACCTCCTGCCCTGCCGTGGTGCCCTTGAGCAAGGCACCGGACACCCCCCTTCCGCCCCCACTCCCATTGCTCCCCGGGCGCTGTGCAATAGCTGCCCACTGCTCCTGGTGCTAGACTCCTGGTACTAGACTCCTGGTGCTAGACTCCTGGTGCTAGACTCCTGGTGCTAGACTCCTGGTGCTAGACTCCTGGTGCTAGACTCCTGGTGCTAGACTCCTGGTACTAGACTCCTGGTACTAGACTCCTGGTGCTAGACTCCTGGCTCTAGACTCCTGGTGCTAGACTCCTGGTACTAGACTCCTGGTGCTAGACTCCTGGCTCTAGACTCCTGGTGCTAGACTCCTGGTACTAGACTCCTAGTGCTAGACTCCTGGTTCTAGACTCCTGGTGCTAGACTCCTGGTGCTAGACTCCTGGTTCTAGACTCCTGGCTCTAGACTCCTGGTGCTAGACTCCTGGTACTAGACTCCTGGTTCTAGACTCCTGGTGCTAGACTCCTGGCTCTAGACTCCTGGTTCTAGACTCCTGGTGCTAGACTCCTGGCTCTAGACTCATGGTGCTAGACTCCTGGTGCTAGACTCCTGGTTCTAGACTCCTGGCTCTAGACTCCTGGTACTAGACTCCTGGCTCTAGACTCCTGGCTCTAGACTCCTGGTGCTAGACTCCTGGTGCTAGACTCCTGGTGCTAGACTCCTGGTGCTAGACTCCTGGTTCTAGACTCCTGGCTCTAGACTCCTGGCTCTAGACTCCTGGCTCTAGACTCCTGGCTCTAGACTCCTGGTGCTAGACTCCTGGTTCTAGACTCCTGGCTCTAGACTCCTGGTACTAGACTCCTGGCTCTAGACTCCTGGTGCTAGACTCCTGGTTCTAGACTCCTGGCTCTAGACTCCTGGTGCTAGACTCCTGGTACTAGACTCCTGGTTCTAGACTCCTGGTGCTAGACTCCTGGCTCTAGACTCCTGGTGCTAGACTCCTGGTTCTAGACTCCTGGTGATAGACTCCTGGTGATAGACTCCTGGTTCTAGACTCCTGGTGCTAGACTCCTGGTGCTAGACTCCTGGTACTAGACTCCTGGTTCTAGACTCCTGGTGCTAGACTCCTGGCTCTAGACTCCTGGTGCTAGACTCCTGGTTCTAGACTCCTGGTTCTAGACTCCTGGTGATAGACTCCTGGTTCTAGACTCCTGGTGCTAGACTCCTGGTGCTAGACTCCTGGCTCTAGACTCCTGGTTCTAGACTCCTGGTTCTAGACTCCTGGTACTAGACTCCTGGTGCTAGACTCCTGGTACTAGACTCCTGGTTCTAGACTCCTAGTACTAGACTCCTGGTACTAGACTCCTGGTGCTAGACTCCTGGTACTAGACTCCTGGTGCTAGACTCCTGGCTCTAGACTCCTGGTTCTAGACTCCTGGTGCTAGACTCCTGGTTCTAGACTCCTGGCTCTAGACTCCTGGTGCTAGACTCCTGGTACTAGACTCCTGGTTCTAGACTCCTGGTGCTAGACTCCTGGCTCTAGACTCCTGGTGCTAGACGCCTGGTTTCTAGACTCCTGGTTCTAGACTCCTGGTGATAGACTCCTGGTTAGACTCCTGGTGCTAGACTCCTGGTTCTAGACTCCTGGTTCTAGACTGCCTGGTGCTAGACTCTGGTGCTAGACCTCCTGGCTCTAGACTCCTGGTGCTAGACTCCTGGTACTAGACTCCTGGTCTAGACTCCTGGTGCTAGACTCCTGGCTCTAGACTCCTGGTGCTAGACTCCTGGTTCTAGACTCCTGGTTCTAGACTCCTGGTTCTAGACTCCTGGCTCTAGACTCCTGGCACTAGACTCCTGGCTCTAGACTCCTGGTACTAGACTCCTGGTGCTAGACTCCTGGTTCTAGACTCCTGGCTCTAGACTCCTGGCTCTAGACTCCTGGCTCTAGACTCCTGGTGCTAGACTCCTGGTGCTAGACTCCTAGTACTAGACTCCTGGTACTAGACTCCTGGCTCTAGACTCCTGGTGCTAGACTCCTGGTGCAGACTCCTAGTACTAGACTCCTGGTACTAGACTCCTGGTACTAGACTCCTGGTGCTAGACTCCTGGTGCTAGACTCCTGGCTCTAGACTCCTGGTGCTAGACTCCTGGTGCTAGACTCCTGGCTCTAGACTCCTGGTGCTAGACTCCTGGTGCTAGACTCCTGGTGCTAGACTCCTGGTGCTAGACTCCTGGCTCTAGACTCCTGGTGCTAGACTCCTGGTTCTAGACTCCTGGTTCTAGACTCCTGGTGCTAGACTCCTGGTTCTAGACTCCTGGTACTAGACTCCTGGCTCTAGACTCCTGGTGCTAGACTCCTGGTACTAGACTCCTGGTTCTAGACTCCTGGCTCTAGACTCCTGGTGCTAGACTCCTGGTGCTAGACTCCTGGTGCTAGACTCCTGGTGCTAGACTCCTGGTACTAGACTCCTGGTACTAGACTCCTGGCTCTAGACTCCTGGTGCTAGACTCCTGGCTCTAGACTCCTGGTTCTAGACTCCTGGCTCTAGACTCCTGGTGCTAGACTCCTGGTACTAGACTCCTGGTACTAGACTCCTGGTGCTAGACTCCTGGTGCTAGACTCCTGGCTCTAGACTCCTGGCGCTAAACTCCTGGCACTAGACTCCTGGTACTAGACTCCTGGTGCTAGACTCCTGGTTCTAGACTCCTGGTACTAGACTCCTGGTGCTAGACTCCTGGTGCTAGACTCCTGGTACTAGACTCCTGGCTCTAGACTCCTGGCACTAGACTCCTGGTTCTAGACTCCTGTGCTAGACTCCTGGTGCTAGACTCCTGGTACTAACTCCTGGCTCTAGACTCCTGGTGCTAGACTCCTGGTTCTAGACTCTGGTACTAGACTCCTGGCTCTAGACTCCTGGTGCTAGACTCCTGGTGCTAGACTCCTGGTGCTAGACTCCTGGTACTAGACTCCTGGTGCTAGACTCCTGGCGCTAGACTCCTGGTGCTAGACTCCTGGTGCTAGACTCCTGGTACTAGACTCCTGGTACTAGACTCCTGGCTCTAGACTCCTGGTGCTAGACTCCTGGCTCTAGACTCCTGGTTCTAGACTCCTGGCTCTAGACTCCTGGTGCTAGACTCCTGGTACTAGACTCCTGGTACTAGACTCCTGGTGCTAGACTCCTGGTGCTAGACTCCTGGCTCTAGACTCCTGGCGCTAAACTCCTGGCACTAGACTCCTGGTACTAGACTCCTGGTGCTAGACTCCTGGTTCTAGACTCCTGGTACTAGACTCCTGGTGCTAGACTCCTGGTGCTAGACTCCTGGTACTAGACTCCTGGCTCTAGACTCCTGGCACTAGACTCCTGGTTCTAGACTCCTGGTGCTAGACTCCTGGTGCTAGACTCCTGGTACTAGACTCCTGGCTCTAGACTCCTGGTGCTAGACTCCTGGTTCTAGACTCCTGGTACTAGACTCCTGGCTCTAGACTCCTGGTGCTAGACTCCTGGTGCTAGACTCCTGGTGCTAGACTCCTGGTACTAGACTCCTGGTGCTAGACTCCTGGCGCTAGACTCCTGGCGCTAGACTCCTGGTACTAGACTCCTGGCTCTAGACTCCTGGTGCTAGACTCCTGGTGCTAGACTCCTGGTTCTAGACTCCTGGTACTAGGATGGGTTAAATGCAGAGAACACATGTCCCTGTGTGCTCTGCATGTGAGACCATTAAAGGCTGACCAATCAATTGACTTGAATCCAACATAATCACAATGTTGGGAATTATATTATCTTAGCATCTCAAAAACTTGACACAAATTGTAAAAACGATATTAATTTCCCACACAATATATCGTGCCACTCTTGTTGTCATATTGCAATATTAACATCTCTATTTGTCCACTCCTCTCTCCTCCTCAGTGCCATCCAGAACATGGACAAGAACTGCAGGCGGATGAGATGGTGAGACCCAACTGGACTGTAACACCCTGCATGGCTCTGATGACTGTGGCTCTGATGAAGACTGTGGCTAACCATTGTCCAAAGTTTGAATTGATTTCACCACTAATACAAATCAAACACATTCTGTCTGGGACCTTTGATGTCTAGAGATGAGAGTAACACCTCGTTTATTTGCAC